TATTTTACTCGATACAGAAAAAAATATGAACAATGTGAAGTTCTATGCCATTATTGTTTTTTATCTAATGGGAAGTGGGGAACATTTCTAGAGTGCCCGGATTTCAATTGCGAGGGTGGAATTAAAATGAGGCTATTACCGAAAAACCACCCCTAATTGGTGCAATAACAGGTATGAGACCACAGGTGGCACCCTTCCCAATATCGATCTGAAACTGAGGCCGATTCAGTATAATTGATTTTAGCGTTCGATTAAAACGCTACTCGGTTAAATAAAACCAAACCACCCACGCTAGAGCCATTTTCTATTACCCCACCGGATTCATTCAAGACCTTGTTTGAATAGGGTTTATAAGGAAACGAGACACATACGCCAGTTGACAAACGCAACGTCCAATTCGCTCGGTTATCGGAGTGCATGCGAAATTAGTTAAGCGGTGCGGCTTTTTTTTAAGTTTTTAATTAAAGAGATGAGATGGGCTTCACTTAGTAGCAAGAAATTGCAGGAGAGAGAGGGCGACAAATGGGGCGGTGGTAGTATTGAACGAAACGACTAGCTGTTGCATTTCATTCACAAAATTCTAGGGTTAGCCTTTGGTAATAGAGTTGGGTGCGGGACGGCGCGTTGTCGGGCCATCCATTCAAAAAAAAAACCCTTTGGAAAATGTAAGATAATAAATCTGTGTCCTTTTATAACGCGCATAAAAAACATGTCGGGTACCGTCCACGCAATTTTCCGTACAAGCTGACGAGCGTAAAAGCGGAAAGATACCCTTTTTTAAGTTCTGTTAAACTTACGAATAAAAATAAATAACAAAATACGAGTAATTTAATTATTCGAGAAATGATGTGGATTTCATGGATTTTTTTAAATTAATAAACCTCACTCGCAAATCTGAAAATTTTTATAGGTATTATATGCAAGCGACAGAGTAAATGAATTAGTAACTGCTATTCGGGTTATGGAAACAAGAATATTTATTTAAAAATAGCATATCACACCATCTATATATGGAACCATATTTCTGTTTGTTATCTATACAGGCTGTCTTACGGTGATGGCCCATTACAATATTTCCGAGACTACTTCGATTTCAATTTTGAAAATTTATGCCTTAGGGTTTTCGGTGCACTCTTTAAATAAAACAATGCCATAGTTGTCAACTGTTATTTTAAATGGAACACCCTATATATTATTGCATTATCGACATGTAAAAAACAGGATACTTAGTATAATTTTATTCAGGTGAAATATTCTAATGGGCCGTCACCGTAAAACAGCCTGTACTTATATTTCAAACCAATGGTATAATAGAAAGAACGGGATAAAACACTACTGGCGTAGTTATAATATCAAAGTTGATTTTGATTTAAAGCGGAGGGTGGCAATCATGGAAACTTAATGAGTATAAATCCGATAACTGACATTAGTGGCAGTAAATTTTAAAATTATTCAATATACTTTAGCTTTATTTTAATTTTTGAGATATAAATTATACCTTTCCGGTACAAATATGACTAAGATAAGATTTCCCATCTTTTCTTTAAATTGGTTTAAAAAAGTGGCAACTATTGATACAGAAATGCAGACATTGACCGATTTAATTCGTTTTTTTTTTTATTTGAAAGAGCATAAAATATTCTGTTACATCACAATTTTTAAAAATCTTGAGCGACCTCTAAAAATATTTTTTTTGAGCTGATTTTTTGAGGGGGCTCTTAAAATATGATAAACTAACATATTTTCACAAGAGACGAAATAAAAAATCGTTTTTTTTTTGGGCCACCTTAATATATACCCTCAAACTAACTTATATAAAAAATTCAGGCAAGTTGACCAAATTGCGATTTATAGGCCCATTTAATTGGACTATTTATTTATTAATTTATTAATGATAAAACCTTTAATATTAATTTTACAATAAATAATAAATATTTTCTAGTGCTGCGCTGAGTCGGAATTTAAATTAAAAGCTGAAAATAAATTCAAACCATATTATGGTTTTAATGGACTTTTTTTAGTTACGTATTTAAAAAACGAATTAAATCGGGCAATAAATACCTTTTTTAAATAAGTGTTTCCATTTGAAATGGATCACACTGTATGTATTTTTATTAAAAGACTATATGGTTTTTTTATCCTTCTAAAATTTTAATGTTTCCAATTTTTCCTCGGGCATTTTAGACGATGTTTATTTTATAATGGCAATTGTTGGTGCAGTTATCCTAATTATCCTATATTAGAAAGACCAAGGCGTTTTTTTTTGTTCACCGGGTGCGCCAAGTTCTACTTTAATTAATCTTCATTGCCCCTTTTAAGCGCGCAGTGTCTTGATTGCATTGTAATAATTTCAAAGATATTTAAAAGCCTCGTAAAATTTCATAATAAATTTTCCGGTAACGTATTATCTCAAAGAGGATTAAATATGTAGCAATAGAAACAGGATATAAAGGGGAACCCATTACATTCAGATAGAATTACCGGCCCAGATTAAATGTATATAAACACTTAGGTACAGCAGTTACTCTTACTGATCTCGGAAACAATAGAGGTTAATGGTTATGCTTGATAAGAACAGGGCTTTAAATAACATTCCGGCTGACAGTTTGTTATTGTTCTTGTCCCATTTAATTTAAACATTTCCTACCCTTTAAACTGTCAGGTGTGTTTAACTAATGTGGCATTCTAGAATGGTTCCTACGATAAGAGCTAAGTAATAATCCCACATACACCAGTCAATTTTGCAACTGTATAATTCACCCACGCTACCAGCAAACAAACAAATCATAGTCGGCTACGGTAATAAATATATTGTGCGATTAATAAGGGTTAAATGTACATATCCACGGATATAGATACTGACTTAGTTCTCCAAACAATGTCCTGAAATAGCAAATGTAGATTTACTGTCTATGTGTCACAGACGGCATATAAATATATATTTAGTGAATGGTATGGATGTATGGGCGGTACAATACAGTTTTATCAAAAAATTATATTTAAAAGAACTGAAAGTTGCCGTATCATCATAACGAATCATTAATTCGTTCGACCAAGAGTTGGCTTAGAAATATCTGTTATCAGCTGCCCTGCCCCAATTGTATGTCAGATTTATCCGCACAGGTTTATTGTATACTTGAGTGTATATCCGTACACCCACAAGGTAAATCTGAAGAGTAACCAGACCTTGTGTAGCTGGCTTTAGATACCAATCTGCCAAAAATAACTCTTCAAACTTGAAATGCATTATTTCGAATTCTTAAGTGGTACATATAGCTTTAACTTAACAATGATATATTTTAAATATTTAAAAAAAGGTATATTCGCCAACATAGTTTAAAAAAATGTGCAATGGTAATTGTGTATCGATGAAATCGATGAAAGTAATGACGTATTTATTCGTCTTTTCTCAATTGACGTCATTTAGATTTTTAATTAAAGGCGTAAGGCGTCCATCAGTTATTGTGAATTTATTCATGATGATTACAATCGAATTAAAAATATATTTATTTATTTATTTTTCTGTTTAATATAGTGTACCTGATACAATGTGACAGGTATCATTTTTTAATTAAATTCGTAATATAGGTGTTCATTTATTCCATTATTTATTCTTCAATTTCGCTCTCAGACACGATAAAATTAGATTTCGTTTTAATAGCAGTATTATTTATCAATTTTACTATAAACATTTTTGATAATCTCTTATTGCGCGCATTGTAAATTTAAAATAAATATGAACAAGTTTTAAATTGTAGATAGAAATTGTAAACACCAATTCTACTGCTAGAATAGGTTGTAAGTAATTAATATAAATCGAAATATAAGCCTTAATTAAGGATGTTTTAAATAGATATAAAATGTTTTACATTTTTTTATAATACTATAACTTCATATTTAGCGTTGTTTTACCTCAACTGTATAACTAAATCAATTACGCCGCCGTTTAATTCTTCATACGCAACAGAGACATCTATCGAAGAATGGGGCATTGATTCTTTCATTTCTACAGAATATTTCTGCATGGTAGAGATAGGCACCCAGCCAGCAATTAAACACGTTTTACAGGTTACTGTTACTAATACGCTTCGTAAAATCGCCTTTGAAGTATGTATATTTCAGTCAACGTAATTGCATTTGAAAATAGAATATAAATGTTGAAGTATTTATTGATGCTATATTAAATAAAAATTAATAAGAAACTATTCAAAAGATGTAGCCACAAAACATACAGTCTAGATCATCTGCACATGCCTATCGTTATCATGAGCAGAACTAGTTTAATATTCAAAAATTTTTTCATTTTATCAAGCTTTTTTAATTTACAGTTACTGCCTTTGTAAAAGAAAAAACAGGGATTTTTTTATACATAAAAACTACTAACTGATGACGTATTATTGAATACTTTTTTCTTCCTTCTACCTTCTACACCTGTATGTCCTATTTAATTTTATGACAAAGGAATATATTATTAAAAGAAGACGGTATCCACCATCCTGTAAATTAATTACGATTTGATTCTTTTTGAGTCATTCAGTTCTCATTACTCGAGTTATAAAATACACAGAAAATGAGAAAATATACTATAATACAGACTTACCTATGAACAGAATCAATTTCCACGTGTAGGTCGAGTTGAAGCAAATATGTTTTTTCATCATTTTTTCATATTGTAAAAACGGGTAAAATGTAAAACCAGTTACAAAACACTTTAGCACAACACAACACAAACGGAACAAAAATCAACAGGCACTTAAATGTATATTATACCGATCTAAATCTATCATTAAAATAAAGAGACGCCGAACTTTTCTAAATTCTGTCAACTCAAAAACATTCATTTGTTTAAACAAGCAACTAGATTAAATTCAAAAAACGAATTTAGTAAATTTAGTGATTGGCAACTATTTTATAAAATTTTGTTGGCAACATGTGCGTAGGTAGCGGTCGCCAATGAGAAGCTTCCTTTCTTATTTTATAATCTGCATTTGGTGTTGGTGTTGGTATGTTGTTGGGTTGATGTGCACCTGCAAGTTCCTTTGGTGATTAGTTGTTGGTTTTTAAATTGTTTACATACAAAAAAACTCCATTACAATTAATCATAACTTAGAACTGTCTCCCGACATAAAGTCACTTTACTTTTCCTCAAGGAGAAAATTAGTGAGATGTCATCATAGGACTACGAAAAGAAAAGACGGTTAAATTGTATTCTTATCCGTCAATATGGCGGACGTAGCAAGATTTCAACATTTGGATAGGTTCTGCATCCAGTAAGTACCTACACTTAATTAGTAAGAATGTCATTTTGCACCTCAAAATGCTCATATTCGTGTTTGTATGAAACAAAAGGCTAAAGACTGTGCCAAATGTTATGTCAGTGTTTTGACACTGATTAGCTAGTTGTCCATTTTTAAATATGTTTATGTGAAATTTTAATTTCTGTTGCCTGTATAACGTAATTTAAGAATATATTTATCAACGTGGAACATAGAAAACGTCAAATAAACATAATGGTGTCATATTACAAAAACAAGTTTCAATTTAGATGTGTAATGACAATGACTATTTCTAATTTATTTGTTGTTATTATTTACCAGTATTAATGTTTTTTTTTTAGTTACTACGACAGTAGAGAATGTCCTAAAGGTGAAACATGTAATTATCAGCACAAAGCACGCTTTGAAGTAGAGAAAGTGCGTTACATCCTTGGAGAAGAATTCTTTCTCGGTAGAATACGCACCAACCAAAGAGTTTGTCGTTTCTTCAAACGAGGAAACTGCATTCATCAGCAGAACTGTCATTACCGCCATGATAACGACAACAGTACTCGAAACCTACCAAGATTAAACCCTCAGAATAATACTGTACTGAACAATACAAACCGAAATAGTAATCGTTCGAATATAAGGTAATGTGATTATTACAACTTTTTGTTAAATTGTTGCACTATGGGGTCTTCTATTTTAGCACAAATTTGCCTTCCACATCGTCTCAGTCTGCTGAAGTAAACAATAAGAATTCGATTAACAAAAATCAAAAAGAACATGGTAATAATAAGGAAAACAAACCTGCAAAATCAGACATAAACAACTGGTAAGTTGCGTTCCTTTACATAACCTAATTTTTTACTGAGTTATTGTACAGCCAAAATAATGAAGAGAAAAAGGATCAACCACAAGCAGAAGATGAGGAGGAGGAAGGCGCATGCGCGTCCCCTCCTTTAAACCGTATAAACGATTCCTGGGTAAACGCTCCGGAATTCGTGCCAAAAAGTATCATTGCTGCACGACCAAGAAGCTATGCGGAGGCACTCAGCCCAGACGCCATTGCCGAAAGGAACGCCAACAGAAAGCTCTGCCCGTACGTGAATAAAGACGGCATTTGCAGAAACTTGACAGACTGTACATATTTACATGGCGAGATGTGCGATATGTGCGAGAGATTGATTTTACACCCTTACAATGAAGAACAGAGAAAGCGACATCGTCAGGTAAGAAAAAATTACCAATAAAAGAAATATATAAAAACAATTGTCATCCAAATATAGGAATGTATAAAACAGCATGAGAAGAACATGGAACTATCGTTTGCCATCGCACGCTCTAAAGAAAAATCGTGTGGAGTCTGTTTCGAAGTGATAATGGAAAAGGCTATTGGCGAACAACGTTTTGGTATATTACCTAATTGCAACCATTGTTTCTGTCTAAGTTGTATTCGTAAATGGCGCCAGGCACGTCAGTTTGAAAATAAAATCATTAGGTAACTTTTACGTTTTTAAATCTATCGTTTTTATTTAAACTTTGTGTCTTAGGGCTTGCCCTGAGTGTAGGGTGACTTCAGATTTTGTGTGCCCCAGCATGTATTGGGTAGACACGAAGGAAGACAAAGAGAAATTAATAGATGATTACAAAAATGCTTTATCCAGAAAAGACTGCAAATATTTCAAAAAAGGACAGGGAAAATGTCCCTTTGGCAACAAGTGTTTCTATTTACATGCCTTCCCTGATGGCAGCAAATGCGATGTCGGGCCACCGCCAAGACAGAGACGTCCCAGAAATGTTGACACCGATATCGACGTCTTGCAGGTAAAGTCATTGAAATTCATAAATATGAATCGGAATTATAATTTACAATTTTACATTAACGTAATAGACACACTAAGAAGCTTGTTTCAGAAAATGAGACTGAGTAGGTTTTCGTACAACTTTTACCGAGAATTTGTGTGCCATTGGTTTACTACATAGGTTTTTTTCAGCAGGTGATGCTTTGGGACTTTCTGGATGAGCGGGATTTTCCGTGGCAGTCTTTGGCGGATGATTTAGAGGATCTTGTTTCTTTTTTTACAGATTCCGATGAGTCAGACTGGTCTGACTATGAGCTTTTCTTTGATTAGTCTTTGCATATACTAATTCATGTATATCCAAGATATTTTGATTATTTCGTAAGGTTTTACTTTCAAGTTTTTCGGTATACTGAATGACAATTCCAATTATTTATACAGATTTGTTCTATTCCTTTTATGTAGTATAATTATTGTAAATACTGTTATATCTGTTTCGTTTTGTTTCACTTCGAGGCAATAACAACAGTGTTGCTTCTAATTGTATAAAACATAGATTTAATGGTAGCCATGCCTCCTCAAACTGCTTTTTTTACAGTTTCATTAAAGAATATTTTTACACTTGTTAATCTCTTTTAAGACTCGGTTGTCAAATTTACCGATACCAGTACAAGGTGTACCAAATAATCATAGTTTTTTATTACCATTGTTGTATAGATAGAAATAATCATATGTAGTACAGGGTGTCTGAAACAAACAAGCCTATAACGCAAGAGATAAAGTCAGTATAGAAAGTGATGCTTTCCTTTGAAGTAATTATCTATAATTTTTTAATCCTAGTCGAGAGGGAATTTTTTCAAATACATAGTGGCTACTGCGTAGACTCCCTGTACACATCTGCCATTCTCACTTTAATTTTTTGGTGCATGTTGTATTCCAATAGTTAAAAACTTAAAACTACCAAAGTAAATATTATTTTTGAGCAGTGTATGAATTCCGAAAGTGATATTTTTAAAAACATTTTTGTTTCCAAATAGTTCAGCTGTCTAAAAATCATTTTAAATAATTTTGGACTAACAACCTGATGCTTAAAATGTTTCCTTTATCGGTATTGGCCCGATAAAACGGGAGTACAGTGTCGAAAAGGCATTTAACTTAGAGGCCAGTACGTTCCAATGTTTTATTTTCAAAATTAGGAGAGACATGATTCCATTTCAAATTTATTTAAGAGAGCTCTATAAATGTCATGTTTGTCTGTGTAATCGGTTAAAAATTACAAAAAAAAAATATCCCCGCATGAGAAATACCGAAATATAAGTGTATCTGCAAACGCCAAGCATCGTAACTGTGTGATCTATCTCTTCTAATATTTTGAATATGTTTACATGATTTTGTTGATACATATGTTTAGGTTAAGTACATGATTGCACCATTCATCATCAGTTTGTAACTTGTCACAGTCTGGAAGTTCCCAAAAAGTATATAATATTGTTATTTGTTACAATCAAAAGCATAGGAAAAAAAAACAAAATTGAGTTTCAACGTCGTTGTCTACAACATTATTTTTTGAAATGTGTTTTGATCTAAAGATATAGCAGTTTTACACAGTGAAGGAAATATAATTTTACTAAATATTTTTTGGGATGTGGAGTGTGATCAAGTAATGTTCGAATAAAATTAAAAGAAATTTTTTTGTAGTTACTAACAAAATTTTATTTTATCGCGGTGCTAGGACAGATGAACTGGAAACAGGCGAGACAAGCCATGTTTAAAAGATCTGTGATTTTTAGCTTGCTAGGTATAATTAAAATAATTTTTAGTTTTTTAGTTAATCCGTTGACTCACTCTTTGTTAATAAATAGATATTTATAGATTACTATTTTAGTTGTTTCAGTAACTTTATTTTTACAGTTGTTAAGAACAAACGTTGAAAATGTATATTTATAGAAAAATTGTATTGATAGAGGTGGCGAGTTCAACTATTTGTGTTTGAACAATAGAATTATATGGAGAGGTATTATGTGTCTAAACTCTGAAGGATAATTTTTATTTGAATATGTAACAGTTCCAGTGTTGTTTACTAGTAGCGTTCTTTGTTTTCTATAGAATTTATGAATATATATATAACCAAATATTAAATTTGAACGTTTCTAGTAAAGAGGAAAATGGTCTTCTTTATTGTGTGTTTGTTATCCTTTTGGGTTTATTTTTACCTCTAAAAGAATATTGTAGCAATATAAATTATCAAAGCTGAAAATGGTGGTTTTGTTTATTGGTCGTAGACATTTATTTGTGTGCCTATATAACATATATAAATATGTATAAAATACGCCTCGTAGGTTTGAGAAGGAACTAGGGGCTCTAGTTGTGTTCTGTTACATTTCAACTGTCGGTGTCATTCTTTGTGGGAGCGCTACTTTTCAAAAAGTAAAATTATTTCTTTTGAAATCATCTGTATTTGCTTACTTTTATTTGATTAGCTCATTTGTGTTGTTTTTTAATTAATAGTATCATATATATTTAGGCAAAATATGACTGTAAACTTGAAACCTACTTTGTTTAATTATTTTTATTGTACTTATTATTAAAAGAGATGCTACAATTTAATGCTGTTTCAATAAATGCTCCTAAATTTACCATTGTTAGCTAAAATAAAGTATCCAACAAGTATACCAGACTTAGTATGATAGGCAAAAACTTTTCAGCAAAATATACTCCCCTTAGGTTGTAATAAAATATTAATGCAGAATCGATACATATCAAACGGTACAAAACATTACGTACTGATCAGTGGTGGTAGATGCTTATCTTTTGGTGTAAAATTTTTAATAAAAATTTTCTTGTGATAGTCCCCATTCATCAATAACCTGTTTTGAACTTGACAAATTGGAAGTTCCTTAATAAATTCGACATTAATATTTTCTTTATCGATGGATTTTGGGTACATGTCGTCGCCTGCAATAAATTTTGTAAATATTTTTTTAAATATTCTTTACGCTATTAATACCTGGAAATATAGTGTACAAACCTTCCTTACTGTTTACTCTGTATGGAAAATACTTTTCACATCCGTAACACGATCTTTTCGAGGTATGTTCGGAAAGGGTATTGATATCATTAAAATTTCTTATCCTTGAAATTTCATAAAACTGTGGAACAGGAAGCATAATTTTTTCATTGCTGTTCAAGACTATGTATTCATCTGGAGTAGCCCACTGAAATGTTAATTAGTAAAAACTAGATCGGGTGGTGTTTCTTTGTTACCTTAATATTTTGAATCTCATTTTCTTCTCTATGTACATCTGGCATTTGATTGAATGTTGAAAAAAAGAACATGGTGTCAAATCTGATTGGTATAGCTGGGGGCGTCATCCAGTTGCTCCAATTTTTCAACGACCATACGTCTGGGTATAATTCAAATTGCGAACATAAATTTAAGAATTCGTTTGGATTATCATGGACCCGGTGTTGCCATTTTAAGATTTCATGACCTCCAATATAAGAAGCCCATGTGGATGAATTGTGCGTGTAATTTACTTTACCACTTTTGCAAATTAAAATACCACATTCTTCAAAAGTTTCTCTAATAGCACATATTCTCAAAGACAGATATCTTGGTAAACAATTTTTGTCAGTATTATTTAAAATTGGTGGGATATTCTCTTTTGGGTAAAGCTGTTTGAATGAATCTAATTTGTGTCCAAATTTTTCAAAGATTTGTAACCAGCGAATATTACCATCACTTTTGGATATATTCCCACCCGGAAAAACATAAACATTTGGTAAAATTCCCGATTTACCACTGCGCTGTAGACACAAAACTTTATAATTAAATAGATGCGACTGCGAGAAGTTTGATTTTGCCGCAATTATTAAACTAGCAGATTCGCGCCAAATTTTCAAATTCGTACTCATCCTAACTTCCTATCATACAACAATACACTCCGTTTGGAAAATTAATCAAATATGTCCTTTTACGGAGCGTGATTATAATATTTATAAGTTTAACAATGTTACACCACCACATTAAAAAATACCTTGTTTTTGAAAGCCTAAGTTGCAGTATTAGCCAACTAGTAAATTTACAAAACTAAATAGAAACAAGGGAATTACGTAATATTTTATCTACTACATACTAACAAAATTTCAGATATAGTTAGATTAAAATTCCGATTACGTAAAAAAAATATATAAAATACTTCTATGGGTAAATAAAATGAGACATTTTTGTATTTTTCCTTTATATTGGCATTATATATTAAAACTAAGAATGGGTAATTTTTTCAAATAAAAAGGCCGTTTGTTGACTTGTTGGGAACCGCTGTATGATATTTGTGACCTTAAGGGCGGAGCTTAATAATCCCTGTATCTTTTGTATAATAAATGGTTATGTCGATCAGCGCCCCCAAGCGGTGTCGGCATCTGGTGGGTGAATGAAGAACTGAAGTTTAGTTTGCGCTCGGTGTCGGTACATCAGCAGTGAAATGTATAGCTGCATCGATGTAATTTGGGAATCAAGAATTTGTTAGTGTACAGACACTCCCAAATAAATATAGAAAATAAAGTAAGTTGATGAGAAAAGTAAAGCCAAAAATAAAGTGAAGTTTATAGATGAGTGACCAAGGATGATGCCAAAACACAAAGAATTCAAGTTTGTAACACTCCTGATAGAAGGTTTCAAAATGGAGTAGATATACATTTGTTGTTGTTATAAAGAAAGGCAACGTGTGTTTGCCGTTTGCTGTAATAAATAATAACAGACACCGCTCTGTGCATATCATATTTCACATCAAAACCATTTCCCATGGTTGGCAAATAGTGTGTATGTTCCTTGTGCAGAAAACCACTAGTTCTTGGATGCTGGGATCTATGTATGACCTTTGTGTATCGAGATATTCAAAATCATTCACCGAATATCGATGTAAGGTAAGAACCTTTAGTAATTTTCTAATCCATCACATACAATGTAAGTTCTCTCTCAACAAAACTGCTTTCCAAACGTGACAATTTTTATTTTCACTCATTAATGACAACATAATGTGACAAACTGCTTGGAATTTCAAATCAAATAAATCTTAAGAATCGTGCCTAGAAACTGTTTTCTAATTGTTACTGCTCACATGTTTTTGAAACATAAAACCTTTTCTTGATATCTTCTATAATTTCTAAACACGACTTCGAAAAATGTTTATTACATACTCATGTAGGTACCAAATAGTCTGATAGATCTGTATATTGAATGGTTTATATATTATTAATTTTCCAACAGAATTTAAACATAGAAAGGAGTGGTTTTTATAAGTTGGTTGGTTTCTTTTGTGGTTTTAGTTTGTTAAACAAATATAAACATGTTATAATTTGTATTTTTACTGGGCATATCCACAAATCAATTACCTAAGGATAATTTTTATATGAAAAATATGTTTAGCATATAATTATAAGAAGGAACAGGCAGTTGTACAACTCATTTGATGTCAGTGTTACTGGGAGACAAAATGAAGCAATTTTGAAATTAACATTTTTCCTGATGTTTAAATTGTATATTTTAGAATTCCCAAAGCGTTGTAAGCAGCGAAAACAAATAAAAAATGTACTCTAAAAATTAACTTTTACAGTTAGTGCTCAAACGACTCATTTTTAAAATGGAAACGCAGTCCAGAATTTATATTTTATTTTCTGGCCCAAAATCGAGACGAGTAGCAGTTATTCACAAAGTATTGTGTTCTGCAGCCATATAAATCCAAAAGTTTCTAGGATCTCCGAACTTTTGTAACTTATTTTATCATCTTTTTACGATTTTTCCAATGTGCAACAAACATTGGAGACATTGAAGATCTCACGAAACTAAATTAATTTATAACAAAATGCCTCAGCTCGATTTTTGGCTGGTTTTGATTTATATTTATAAGAAATTGCTTGTCTAAAGGCACGTGTAACGTTTATTGAATTCTAAGTAATTTGTTGGCATCGATCGGTGCAACGTACAATAATAAAAACAAATATACCCAATTTCTTGCAATTTCAATAACTTGATGTTCCCGCTTTCAAATGAAAGATAAATAAACCACAAAGTTATTTAAAATAAAATCTTTTGTAAATTTTAAATATTACACATAATCTAATAAACCTGCTAGTTTTTTAACGCAAAAATCTTTTATTGGAGTGTCGTTGGGTATTTATTTGAAATATCCTTCAATACAATGACGGCATAAATTCGCAAAACAAATATAATAAATTAGTAACCATTTCCGGAGCGTTATTTGTCCAGGGGAGCGCCCATCTTTGAGCAATAAATCTGGATCAGATAACCGGGCACATTTTTATTACATTCCGCATAAAAGGTGCCTAGAAAGCAATGAGTCCTTTGTACGGCAGTTAATATAATATGATAATGCAATGCAGTTCATTTTTTGCCCTATCAAAAACCGATCTGTGAAATTGAAAAACTTTGTCGGTACTCGTTTTAATTTTACAAGTCGCTGTCGTGTCTTGGACGTGATGGGCATAACAATCGTTTCATGTGGTGTCCCATTATTTTACGCGAACCCTGAAAGGTTTTGAAATATGTATTAATGCGCGCTGAAAAACGATACAAAATACAGAAATGCCTGAAGAACGGGATGAAAAATGAATCGGCGATCAATCCAACCTCTCCCCTAACAAAAAAACAGAAAATCTCTGTGGCTAGTTGCGATTTATAGCCATTTTTTTAAAAAAAGGAAAGAAACTACCGGATAATTTCCAAAACGCGTACTAAAGTTTGTAACGTAAAAAAATCCTTTTTACAACAGAACGGAAAGACGAAAGAAAGAGTTTCAAACAGTATCATCAGAAGTGGGCGGAATCGTCGAAAAAATTAATTTTCCTTCGAGTTCTCTTTTTGGTTGACTTAAAGGGAATCTACCTATGCAGTGTACCTACGCATTTCACTGGGTTCTAAAACGAGTTTGATAGAACCTAATGAGGCGTTACAAATGATCAAATAAAACACTAAGCTCCTCGAGAGGATTATTTTTTCAAACTGGGCGCACTACATCTTTACAGCTTGGAAACAGGCATTTTCACTTACCTTTATTGATAATCAGGTATGGACTGAAGATTATACAGTGCGACGAGTCACTAACTTGGAATGAATTCGCTATATCGACACAAAATCGTTTAGAAAAACATGCCCAGACACTTTGATTTGATTAGTATTTACTTATTTATGTTGCGCATTTCTTTTATCAAGAAAATATATATATATTGTATATATACAGGTTGTCCCAACTAGGAACTATATAATCACTAACAAATTTCAAATATTTATTACCATCGTTCCCAATGTACAGCAAGTTAAAGGTTATTCGTTTATCATTCTTGTCATTTAAAAAATATGCGTTGCGTATTTGATTTCAAAACTGTAGTTTCGGTCTTGTTACACTTGTTTACTTACAAGATTTTTTTATTTATTCCCTCCAAATGGTAAAAGCATAATTTTGAACCTGTTGTATCTTTAAGACTTGGCGACTGTTTTTTATGAAAGAAGCTTTTAGGGATCTTTCCCTATAAAAACTTTTTGAGTGGGTAGAAAAAACTGCTCAAATGCAAAGTTGCAAATGCTTTTACGTATGAATATTTTACATCCACTGTGTCCACACTGAACAAAGTTATAATATCAAAAACATAGCATTTCAAATTATTTTGTTGATTTTGAAGATTGCATCATATTAAAAAACTTTATGGCAATTTTGCCATAGTCTTGAAATTATCGTCTGTTTTAAGTTCTAACGAATTTTATGACGTAAATTCGGTTCTTATAACGTTAACTTTCTTTTAGAAAAACTCTAGGGCGGAAAAGTTTGTATCTAATATATCTAAAACAAACCTCTACTTTTTAATACAAGCGCTTAGGACTGGCGTGCTGTGTATCTAAGTATAAATAGATGGAGTTTTTTTAATATTCTTGATTTATTAGGTAGAAAACAAGTTTCCTAATAAATTAATTTGCCTTTGGAAAACTTTTTTAAGCTATCCCGCACAAGTTGCATTTGTTGCAGTTTAATAACGGACGCACATTCGAGGCGGTATCACAAAGATACCGCCTCGAAAGGGCACCTCGATACAAAAGAGTAAAAGCATGATATTCAACACGTCAAATTTGTCTCAAAATAAATTGGTTTGTTTCCGATAGCCCCTTTGTATAAGATCTCATAATTAATTACAGCATTTCAAAAATAGATGTTTTTTCATACTGTCACTGTCATTAACTTTAGTAAGATGAAGTGGCACTAAAAATATGTTTGTCTTTGCCCCTCTGGCAGTTAGTCTATGTGAAATAGTCCATCCGGTCTCATTTAAAAATATATTTGTCAACACACCGTATGTTCTGCCACAGAACTAACAGTTATTCAGAAATACAAGGAAAATTACGAAAATCGTTTATTAAATCCGTGTTTTTTTTTACTTATACATAGTATTTTTAAATGGCAAGAAATTCGATGACAGTAACAAACCGATCGCCAGAAAATGAATAAATTTTTAAGCCTGATTTGTCGCTATGACTACACATTCAGATTAGAGGATAGCCCCTGGATATCGAAAAGATTTATATTCCATCGAATGTTGCCCATATATCAGCCGTTTCGGTATGCACCCTTGTATTTATTTAATTAAAATTAAAAATACACGACCTAATACCGAAATAACGAGTTAAAAGTACACGAAGGTAATTAGTTACACTTTTCGGTGTATTAAAATTTAACGAAATCCGTTACATTCTTTATCTGGTGGGCTCTGTGTATGTTAAAGAATGTGGAACCAAGTAGGAAGCAAAGAAGTCTTGCAGATATCGACCCAAGTTTCGGTTTAGTTAAACTAATTTGTAATTTCCACCGCAGATTATGTGTTTCTCAAACAAGTTTCAAATTGGGGGTTTCGACTAAGTTCGGGCCATAACCAATTAAAAAGAACACTGTCGATAATTAAATTAACTGCTTTTATCTCCTCTCCGAATTTTTCCTATCAACCCCTCGAAAATTTTCAATTCCCTTAACAAAACTCGCACTGTCTTTTCGATGCCATAAAAATTAATCTACCACGGCACTTCCTGCTTCTAGATACTTTTTGCAAGGATCCAGCTGAATAGAATAGAAACGCATTATTTTCCATATTTTAAAATGAATTTAATAATCGTCGTGTTTTAAATGTATATTTCTCGTAGCATGGCAATAAAGTTAAATACAGCAGAAAAAATTAAGTTAAATTTGTTCTGTCGCTGTACTCGATGCATCGGTTTTATACCTACCATCCATACGAGATTATATTTGTTAAACCAGAAGAGCACTTACAGCTTGACAGATAACAGTTTTTATTATTAATAAAATGGCCTTTATGGCTCTTTATCATCAACTTACATGCGTTGGCAACCACTAAAAGTCCCAAGTTTGTTATTAAATTTATTTACTATCAGCATAGCCTTTGTCCATGGTAACCTATAAAATGATATTAAATAGGTTTTCCCTCGTTTTCTTAGAACACTTGTGGCCAACCGAGTGTGGTGTGGCATTTTAAAATAAACCAGTTGTTATAAAAGCTAACGTTGTTTGGCCATCTAATTGATTTTGTACGCACAAATATCTGCTTTTTAGAAGGCGCTTTAATTTATTTTAATGAGGTCCTGGCTGAATCACTTCTTCTTTATGGGTGACATTAACTTAATGAGATATTAATATGATAGATCACCGAATAAATCTTCATTATATTTTCTATGGCAGACCACTTAAGTCCGTAAATTACTGACATTAAAAAATTGACTAATTTTACACCTGATTTGTCGGTGTCTATCAGTTGACCACAAATTATATCTAACCTAACGACCGCCTTAAAAACGCATCACTCAAAATTTCGAGTTCCGAATAAGCTTAATAACAATACTTCTCTTTGAA